CAACAACAACAGCTACGGACCACAGCTTCCAATTTGTCATCTTCATTATCTAAACGCTTTGTCGATGGCGACATGATTTCTTTGAACGCGGCAGCGACATAAAAGAAGAGGAAGAACCTTATCTGTCGCCCGAAAAATAGAAATAGATCTAATCTGGCCACAACCACAGCCGTAATAATACAATAATTTTTAGAAGGTAGTTTCACTTCAAAATTGTTGACATAAACCGTGTCTGTGACAAACACGCAATGTGGCCACTGCTACGATATAGAACTTGGGGATTATCGCTTGTTATTTTAGATATTTTTTAACAGAACATGTAAAGATTTATATGTTTCATAACTGATCACTTAATTTTTAATATAAATATACGTATTTTATACATACATTTTTGCCATTGCTAATCACATGAATAAAAATCATAAAAATGAAAATATAACAGCAATATTTCTTGTTTATAATGGATTAGATCCATCGCACACCACGGACTTTATCGGCCGCCAATTTAGATGTGCTCGCTAGTCTTTCCATTGCACCACAACCTATTGGTCAGAGCGATTAAGCTGGTGTAATGTGCGCACTTCCATAATCTTCATGTACATATTTCAAGCGAGCCCTATCATTTAAATAGGCGGCCGATAAAGTCTGTGGTGTGCGGTGGCTCTTATTGCTGTGTCCTTACATCTATTCCGTATGTTGCAATATCCACGAAAGCAGCAGTTAATTTTTTATGAAGAAAATTATTACAAAATATTCGAAAATTTCTCCATGTAAATTTAGTGGAAAGTGCATTATATATTGTGAAATAGTCCCATACAAGCTGGTGAAAATTACAAACTTTAATAACAAATTACTTAAAAACTATAAGGTTCCGTGCTTTAAAACTTTACATATACCCCCCTTTAGAACCCCCTCTACCTTCCCTATTTTCCTTAATTCCGTACGCGGGGGTTCCCATTCTAAAATTTTCCCCTCCATGCATATAGCACGGTTTGGATAACGTCGATAACGTTGTTTAACCGCCGATTAGTGATAACCAGACATTGAGTAACCGGCCCTTAACACTACATTAATTTTTTTTTTATCCAAGAAAATTAACAATACAGTCGGCAAAAAAGTTTTTTGTTATTGGAATTTTTAGCAACTATAAGCTTACACTGAGTTATAGTAAACTTAATAAGCTATAAAACCGCTTACACAAAATTTTTTATAGAAATTCGAATTGAAAAGCTTGAAATTAAAAAAAAAAATAGTCAATACTGCTAAAAATGTTGTGGTGCTATTATTTTGACCAGAACTTTATTCGTTTTCTTATAAAATGGTAAAATGTTAATAATTTCCTTTGTCCGGATCTTGATAAGCGCCTCCGTATTTGATCTCAGTAGAACTTTTATAAGTATGAGTTGTCAATTTAAACGAATATCTTTTGTTTTGTAGTATTAGAAATGTATTCATATAGCCAATTTCTCTTTGCACTTCAAAAGGGACAAACCAAATCGGAATTTAATTTTTCCATATAAAAAATGAGTTCGTCGGCCGCTGTGGTGTAGTGGTAAGCAATGCGCGCTTCCACTCCGCAACGCCTCGGTTCAAACCCTGGTCAAAGCAACATCGCAAAAAATATAGAAAAAAGGTTTTTTCTTAACAGCGGTCGTCCCTCGGCAGGCAATGGAAACCTCCGAGTGTATTTCTGCCATGAAAAACAGCTTCTCATAAAAATACAATCGCCGTTCGGAGTCGGCGTAAAACTGTAATTCCCTCCGCTTTGTGTGACAACATCAATGCGCACGCCACAAATCGGAGGAGAAGCACGGCCAAACACTAACACATGTGTAAGCGCCAATCTATTATTATTATTGATTCAGACGCATAAATTAATACGTTTAATTTTTATATTTTTATTGAGCTTTGTACCACGATTGTTTATTAGGAAAAAATTTAAAAAGCAACAAAGTCTAAGCGGTAGAAGTTATAGCAGCTATTTCGGAGATCACCACATCTCTTTATCAGACTTCTTTTTTCTAGACTTCAGCAGGGATCGAACGCGAATTCGATGTTCAAAGTCAGAAGCGTTAACCGCTGAGCTATGTACATCCCGTAAACTGTTGTTGCTAATTCATTTTCTTATTCAACCAACTACTATCAAGTGCAGCTGATTTGCCGCTATTTAAACTCGACAGCGTGGTTGTTGTTGTCAATTCTATACATCCATTTGCTTATTTGCTTTTTTGTATAGTTTCAGGCAGGCTCTTCCTAAACTATGTATTTGTCAATGTTATTGTGGCTTATTAAAATTTAATTTCTATATTTTTATATTTTTAAACAATCGTGGTGCAAAAATACCTGGCGACCTCCGGTCCTATCAAGCCTTACCTGCGCACACGGACCTCTGTGCGGGCGGACCTCCATTGTCCGACACTCGTGGGACCAAAAATTATGAGCACAATTAAACTCAATCAAAAATTCGCAAAGGAGGACGGCCCTCCAAAAAAACCGACAGGGGTGGCTCCAGTTAATGCTACAGCCTCGAGCAGGGCATTTATCGGACCGCCAGTGACAGGAGGTAGAGGGGGCTTAAGCGGTAGGGCTGGTCCTGGTACGAGTACCATAGGAGGCAGAGGGGGGATTGGAGGCTTGGGCAGACCGGTCTCCAACCGATTCATGGCTGGAGCTGCAGCGTCAGCTCCGCCTAGGGAAGTCAGACCCCAAAGCACACACACCTTAACCCAAGGGCGGGGTGCGGCACCAGCTTCAAAAATAACCCGGCAGGATGCTGCCGACATTCCAAACGGCTCGAAAAAACCTCCAAACACAGGCCTGGGTGGGCCGGCTAAACATGCCCGCCCCTCGAAGCAGGCATATTATGAAAAAAGGGGGCCATGAGGGTCGTGAACAGGATCGGGGACCTGCCGATAGAGCAGCTCACGGAGGAGCAGGTTAGGTCACTGGAGTGGGCGAGGGGAGTAGTAGCCAGCTTGGGAAAACCGGCAGGCACTGCTCCAAAAAGGCAGCGGTCTGCTGAACAGGCAGGGGGTGGGGTCGCCAAAAGACCGAAAACAGGCGGCCATAAATTGCCCACCTTCAGGGACGTAGTGAAGGGAGGCGGTGAGGTACTGGCCATCATCGACAGAGGGGAGGAGGAAGGGACTATCCCCAAAGAGAAGTGGAGGTTGGTGGAGGAAGCGATCGCCGAAATCTACCTCCTAGTCCTAGAGGAAAATCCTGGACCTCCTCTCTGCCATGATTCCGGATGGTATCAGGGTAGAGCTAAACTCATCGCCTGCGAGGACCATAGGTCATCCCAGCTCTATAGGTTGGCCGTTAGTAAGGTAGGTGAAGTTTGGCCGGGAGCCAAGCTCGAGGCCGTCAGCAAGGAAGATATTCCTAGCAGACCGAGGGCTCGAGTTTGGATTCCGGCTAAACCCGCCGAGCCTGAAAGAATTGAGCGGATCTTCAGATCCTGTAATACGGACCTGCCAACTCACAATTGGAGGGTAGGGAAGATAGAGGAGCCAGTGGAGAATAGAAGGCAAGTTTTGCTGATCCTCAACGCCGAATCGATAGCCCCACTGGCGCAAAAGGAGTCGGTGGTGAGATTCGGGTTTAATGACGCAACCATTCGAATCTACCGCAGCGACGAGCCGAGCTTGGACCTTAGTGAGCCAATGCTCATCCGACTCGGAGAGAATTATCCTTTCTGTTTTGCGAAGAAAAGGAGCTGAACACCTTTTGCATAGAACACCTTTCTGCGTAGGCGGCCTTCGGCCGCACTTAGGGATTATAACCCTCAGGCAGTAGAATTCTCCTTTCTGTTTTGCGAAGAAAAGGAGCTGAACATCTTTTGCAGAGAACACCTTTCTACGTAGGCGGCCTTCGGCCGCACTTAGGGATTATAACCCTCAGGCAATAGAATTCTCCTTTCTGTTTTGCGAAGAAAAGGAGCTGAACATTTTCTTTTGTATTGATTTCCCCTGTATTCCTTTTTAATCATTGCCTTCTTTGTATGTATTATTTTGTACAATATGGCAACACATGTTATGTGTCAGTTTGCAACCATGTGTTATTGTAAATATGCGTGAAATTCAATGTAATTTACAAGTCGATAAAAGTTTAATTAAAGTGATTTATATACAAGATAAAATAAAAGAAAAGTGTGTAAAGTATTAAGTACAGTGTTATGTGTATTTAGATATATAAAAGTATGCACAAATGCTTTTTTGTTAAGGAAACCAAGTGGAACGACTTACGAAATTTTAACAACAAATAACTTATAAACAATGATATTATTTATATTTTTTAGTTATACATGTTTTAGAGGATACCTCCCTTAACATCCTGACCAAGTTTCATTTCCACCTGGTTTTCTTAAAACACAAGGTGCGGCTGACTACTAAAGCCCACCCGAATTTATAACCCTCAGGCAGTAGAATTCTCCTTTCTGTGTTGCCAAAGAAGGGGGGCTGAACACCATTTGAAGAGAACACCTTTCTGCGTAGGCGGCCTTCGGCCCCTCAGGCAGTAGAACTCTCCTTTCTGTGTTGCCAAAAAAGGGGGGCTGAACACCTTTTGCAGAGAACAACTTTCATTTACTCCATTTATTTGCATCAAATTCATCAAAACATGGTGCGAAAAGTGCAAAGTGCAAGTGTTTTTTGCGAATAACTCTTAAATTAATTAAAAATCTTAATTCCCCTCCCCCCGCCTCCCCCGGATTGTTATTTTTCGCGTTAAAACGCGTCGATTGATATCACTCTCGATTTGTTCCGTCCATTTTGACTTGGTTCCCGTAATGTGCACTACTACCGAAATATAGAAATAGAACTAATCTGATCACAGCTACATTTTTGGCTAGACGCAGTGTTGCCAAAATAATTATCTACAGAAGAGTACGTGTCAAAATAATTTGACAGCTGGAGTTCGTTGCCCTTCGTCTGCAATGTGTTTCAAGCTTTAGAAAACCATCGATGTTTTCGATAGTAACACACCATCGATACTATCGATAGTGCCATCGATAGTTTTCCAGCTCTACTTCTTCATCTTCAAGAAAAAATCGGTGTAAGATGGCCAACAATTTTGAAGGAAATCACGTAGTTCATAGAAACCAAGAAAATGATGGGCCACGCATTAACGAATTTGCTCAGAAATTTCTGGCGGACTTGAGTGAGGAACGCCGACGTTTAAGCGATGAATTTCCATTAAGTGTTCTTCTCATTGAAGAAGGTACGTAGTTGATTTGTAATTTTAGTGAAAATCGCCTACAGAAAACGACGAAGGTAATTATCTAGGTGGGTTTTCAACCTCCAAAATTGGTCAAAATTTTGGAAAGGGGATTCCATTAGACGTGTCTGGACCGCAATAACAAGAATCCGAAAGCGGAAGTTAACTTTTTTTACCCGATCAAAAGTTATTAACAAAAAACACACACAATAGCACTTTTTATTCGGGTACTGTTTAGTACGATGCCCGTCTATTTCGTGGTATTGCGTCGAGGGGTGACCCGATACAAAAAAAAATTTGCACACACTTCTAGCCAAGAATGATAGAATACAAGATTGCGCCGTCCTGGGCGTTGACATTTGTGTACCACAAGTAAACAAAGAATAGAGCGAAAAGAAGGACGAGTTGAAACGGGTGGGCTTTAGTAGTCAGCCGCACCTTGTGTTTTAAGAAAACAAGGTGGAATTAACAAATGAAACTTGGCCAGGATGTTAAGGGAGGTTTCCTCTAAAATATGTATAACCAAAAAATATAAACAATATTATTGTTTATAAGTTATTTGTTGTTAAAATTTTTTAAGTCGTTCCACTTGGTTTCCTTAACAAAAACTGCATTTGTCACATACTTTCATATATATAAATGCACATAACACTGTATTTAATACTTTACACACTTTTATTTTATTTTATCTCGTATATAAATCACTTTAATTCAACTTTTATCGACTTGTAAATTACTATTGGGGTGTTCACAGTTCGTTCCAAATTGTGTCTGAAAATGTAGACGTCTACATTTTGAGACATCTTTAGCGTCAAACTGTGAGCACCCCTTTCTAGCAGTCGTCGCGAAATCGTCTCAAAACTTTGCTGGTGTTGCCAGACATTTCTTCTTTGAGTGCATTTTTTATGTCGCCTTTCGATTTTGTTTCAGAAAAATTGTAATTATTTAACTTAATTACCAATTCCTAATATTTGTT